TCTTGTTAAATGTTTGTCTGAGATCTTTGTATTGAATTATTTAAACTTGTCAGTACTGTGAAATAGTGTCATAAAGCATACACTTAGAAAAAAGAGGTTATAGCAGAGGCTTCATGGAGCAAATATGCTAATGGAGATTCTGACCTCTTTATTTTCATGTGCTAATGAAGAAGTAGGATGGTCTAAAGTTAATCTTGTGGGATTTTGTAAGAATTATAATATTTTCTAAAATAACTCATGTTTACCAAAATGAGTTATTTTATTTCACTTTATTATGAGGACTTGTAATTCACTGAGTTAGTCAGTCACATTTAGACCTGTGAAATAAAACCTGAAATTCTAAGTGGAGGGTAAATGTCATTGATAGTCAACATAGTATAACCATGTTTAAATTCATTGCTATCCTCTCAACATATAGCCTATATCAGCAATTCTGGCAATTCAGGAATTTTGACTGGAACAGGAAAGGGGAAAAAAGTGTAATAGGTAGGCCCCTGTAAGGCAAGGCAAGTGAAACTGAGTCACCACAATGACAGTTCTGGGTAGTCTGGAGGTAGCACAAGGACAGTATCTGCCTGTGGTCTAAGACTTGGTATGGAGAGTCAATGATAGATCTTGATTAAAAGAGTTGAGAAAGGTGGATGGATATCAATAACAGGAACTAAACTATAACAGGAAGACCAAGAAGACCTAGTAACTGCCTAGTGTTCACAAGACACTTATGTATATAAGTCTTAGACTACCAACATCTGTGCAGACATATGTGAGGTAAATATTAACAAAGTATAATTAGAAATTATGTCATTCATGGCATCAGTGAATAATGATGCAGCCATGAATAATACAATGAACTTTGTAAATTACAAATATTCTATAAACAATTTTAAAATAATGCACTAAATTAGAATGCAGATCTTGATATCTGAAACCCATTCTTAAAGAAATCAGGACCTTCATTTTTTATTGTATTATTTGTTTTGCTAAGTTAGTGTTGGTTTACTGTAGCATATATGATTTAGAACTATAAGTTTAGAGCCTCCCTGGTGGCACAGGAGTTAAGTCTCAGCACTATGAAGTAATTCACAGCCACTGCAGCACAAGTTCAATCCCCTGCCAGGGAGCTGACCCACATGGTGCAGCAGACCTCTCCTGTCTTGCCCGCTGCTCCCCTCAGTAGTGTATTTCAGTCAGTCCGCCTGGTCTGCTCCCCACTCTGTTCTGGTGCATCCTCTCACCCACCCCTGCATCTCTGGCCTATGCCCCAACTCTTGTATGCATAAATAAATAATTTTTTTTGCATTTTTTTTTTATTTAGACACACAGTGGGTACAGTCAGAAGCATGGGAGGGTGAGATAATTAACCAGAGCCAGAGGGGAGAGCAGAACAGGCAGACTGACGAAGTACACTGCTGAGGGGAGCAGTGGGTGGCAGGAGAGGTCTGCGCGCCATGTGGGACCCTCACCTGGCGGCCGGGGATAGAACCAGCATTGCAGAGGCTGTAGGCAGCTTCACAACCCAGAGCTCAACCACTGCGCCACTGGGAGGCCCTAAATAAATAAATCTTAAAAAAAAGATGTGTAAGTTTACATCGCTTCAGATGCTTGGTAACACCATCAAAGTACCACCCCAAAGTACAGCAGCCTCCATCACAGTCTTTTGGGCCCTCTCCTTCATTTGCTTCCCACTTCCATCCTCTTCTTTAGGTATCACTAGTTTTACAGTCAGAGTCTAGGGTTTGTTTTGGAAATCAGGATTTCTTGTAGAAATATTTAGTTCCAGAATTGGAAATGGAAGACAAGATGGACTTGGAAACTTGGATGTGCCAAAAAACAAGGAAATACTAAAAAACTAATAAGGGAATATATAAAGGAATATTGGGCTCTAGTAGAAGGAATTTCCAATGTCCAAACATCACAACTTAAACAACAAAATGATTAGCAATAGGACATATTACACCCAATAGAATAAATATACATGCATAGTCTATCTTAATATAAAAAAGAATTGAATGCATTTTAAAAATTGGGAGAATACCTTCTTCCATACAAGAATTCCAATCAATTAATATAGAATTTGGATAATAGAAATGGAAAACAACCATTAGGCAGACTCCACAATGAATGTGTCAGGCAGGGACCATTGATGGGTTCTAAAGCTAGTGATCAAAAAGTATGGTGAAAAATACTAGTTTTGGTTAGTCTCAAAGCAACTTCCTGTATGATACTCCTTAATTACAAAGGAATAATAATAACTGTATCTAAAGTAATAAGACACATGACATCAGGTACTGTGTGTATCTTGCTATAGCACAATGAAAAGTACAAAATGTCACCTATATCAAATTCTTGCCAGTTATGTACAACATACATATGTATGTGTACATGTACACACATACACACACACACACACAAAGTCTAGTAGCGAGAAAAATCAGATTTAATTTTTTATTTGACTTTTTTAATTTGATTTGAATATCCCAACTTGAGGGATATTCTACAAATAACTGCCAGTAATCTGCAAAAGGGTCAAAACCCAAAAACCAAGGAAAACCTAAGGAACTCACTAATTGAGGAGTCAAAGGAAATATGACAACTAATAACAATGTATGGCCTGGATTAGATCTGGAAAAGAAAGAGCATAAATTAGAAAATTGTTAAAATTTGAATAAAATCTGTAGATTAGTTACTAAATGAAAGGTCTGTTGGCTCCAGGAAATGGCTAGTATACATACAATGGTAGAAATGACCATCTGGAATTTGTTGCCTTGTTGAGTTTTTTTTAATTTTTAAAGCAAAAGTACTAATTAACCTGTTTTCTCTAAGTGACATTTCACCTATTTTTTCCTCTCTCAATTGATGGCTATGCTTTTGAGAAATCATGGGTGAAACCAGTTGGGATTGGTAACAAGCTGTGATGTAGCTTTAAAGATGCATTATTAGTAAGAACATTTTTTTTTTCTGAAATTTGTTACATCATCTACCAGATACCTGATAATATTTGTTATCAAGAGGCTGAGAAAATGTCTCTTCTGAGTTGACTATAAAATTACAGAACAATTTAGATTCTCCATTTTTTTATAATGTGAAGATAAAAAAGCAAAAAAAAACCCCAATTATCATAGAGCAATTTTGTTGTGAAATTGATTTATATGCAGATTTCCTAGAAAGTAGATATAGCGCATTATTGACCTTTCAAACTGACTTGAAATTTGTAGCAGATTGAGAAATTAGGGTATTTCTTGCCCTTCGCTGTTTCCTTGAAAGGAACTACTTTCGCCCTCAAGCTAAGTCATGAAACTCCACTTCTTATCATCTCAGTATCTATCCTTACACAATCCTGAGGTTTGCTTTCCTCTGTCTTCAACAGCCCTCATCCTTTACATTTTGATTATCACCTTCATTCACTCTCCTTGTTATATCTCTCCTATCCCCCTCCTTTCATATGCCACTCAAATAATGTGATCAAGGGACCAAACAGAGTGATCTATAGTTACTTCATGTCTTAGGCTTCCCCAACTAAGTTGAAGCTCCTTGAGTCTTGTTCAAGGACTGACTGACTCTTATTCTTTTCCTCTCCCCAGTCATTAAAAGTGCCTGGTATATTGTAGAAATGCAGTATTTGTCAGAGAAATGTGTGAATGACCTGGGAGAAGAAAAGATAAATGGTGACTATGTGAGGTGATGGATGTGTTTATTAGATAGGTTGTGGGAATCACTGCACAATGTATACAACTACAAAAATAGCACGTTATATGACTTAAGTAAGTACAATTTTTGTCTATTACACCTCAATAAAACTAGAAACAATAAAAATCTATTCTAGTTTACATAAGAAATAGCTCAATACAAAAAATTCAAATTCAGGAAAGAGTAAACAAAACCCAGATTATAATAAACTTATAAAATTTGTCAAAATAAGTAAAATTCTAAATTGTCTTCTTGGACATATTTTTGAGTACATTTATGTGCAGTAAAATCATAGTCAACCTAAACCAAAATGATGCCTTGTTCTCAATTTGGCACCCCTTCTTACCATCACCCCAATTCACTGGAATTCAAACCCACACAATGATTTTCACATACATACATACACATTCAGCTCTTAAATTTGGGGCCTCTCTACTCTGCAATTCTGGACAGATTCCATATGCATTTCAAATTTGACATTACCTGCTCCTGTTCCCTAAGACTAATTCAGTAACTTCAAGAAAAAGTAATATTTCCCTTTTCTTAAATAAACATATTCTTAACATAAAAATTTATAGGTGTGGCAGAAAAATGAATGAAGTTTGCTTTGTGTGTATTAGGAAGGAAGATGTCCACTTGACCTAAATATAGAATTATCTCTACATCTTTGGTGATGGTCAGAAGACGTTTAGTACTGATATATGTCAAGAACATGTTTTTTTGTTTTGTTTTGTTTTGTTTTGTTTTTGTTTTAAGATTTATTTATTTATTTTTATTTATTTAACAAGCACTGGGTACAGTCAGAAGCGCGGGAGGGTGAGAGAATTCACCAGAGCCAGAACAGGTTGCAAAGCAGGCAGAAGGACTGAAGCACACTGCTGAGGGGAGCAGCAGGTGGCAGGAAAGGTCTGTGCGCCATGTGGGACCCTCCTCTGGTGGCCGGGGAGCAGCCGGGAATCGATCCGGTGCTGCAGAGGCTGTGGGCAGCTTCACAACCCAGCGCTCAACTGCTGCGCCACCAGGGAGGCCCAAGAACATGTTATTTTAACAAGATTTTAAATAATTCATAATTTCCACAGTGCCTTTTATTATTTACCACATTTACCCCAGTTTTATTGCTGTCATTGATGTACAGCACTATAAAATTTTAAGATGTACAGTAAGTGATTTGACATAATGTTTATCATGAAATGATAGTCACAGTAAATTCAGGTAACACCCATCTTATATAAATACCAAAAAAGGTAAAAGAAAAAAATTTCCTTGTGATGATAACTCTTGAAATCTACTCTCATTCAAAATACTCTTTTTTCAAAAACATGGATCTCTTCATGAATTTGCCTTTTCATCCTTGTGTAAGGACCATGCCATTGATGGTCTCTGTCTTGCTCCAAGTTTACTATATGTACTACCAAAGTGAGCACCTTTGTCACGTTCTTAAGCTTATTTCCTCATAACTCTTTGAACTGTGTCTTGCACTTCATAGGCGGTTTTGTTGTTGTTCACTTAAAGATCCTCAAGTTATAATTATGCAATGCTTTCCATATCCCACTTTTTCCTTAAAAGCAAATTAATAGCTCATGTAGGTTAAAAAGATACACAGAAGTTTAAATTAGGAAGTATCAGTAAGTTAGTTGTTAAGAAAATCTAGTTCAATATATCTTTCACATATGGAGTAGGTTACATTAATAAATGTAGGTTACATTTATTTCTTTTGTAGTCTTTCTCCCCATAAATGTTATTACTCAGAAATCATAGCTTGAGGTGACTTTTGCAAAAGTCATGCTTTGATTTTTGCACAAAATGAATTTCTGTATAAAGTTAAGTTGAGTGAGGATTATTGGGAGCCTTTTAGGTTCAAATGTTGATTCATGTAGGTCACACAAAAGACTTTCAATTTGAGAAACAGGGAGAGATAAAATGTGATCCATTACAAAGTTCATAAATGATTTCATGCACTCCTTATAATTACTTTATCATACACATCACATTCATGTGACTCTGAGCTCTAGAATTTATTCAGAACTCAAAATCAGAAGACATAGCTTCCAAAAACAAACTTTAAAAATCTCTAATTTTTTTCATTCAAAATTGATTTTTGGTCTTTTACTTACAGTGAATTTTTTCAGAAAATGTACACACACACACATATATATATACATATTAAATTAAATAATTGCTTCTAATTGTTTTTAATGTATGAAATATACCTAACTAAACTTAGGGACAAATATTAGTAATCCCCTACCCCCCAAAAAAAGTAAAGCATGGGTAGATTTAATTATAAACTCAAAGTGAAATCCTATGGATTATTTTACTAAACTCAGGACCTAGCAGATTTATAAAAACTACTCTAAATATATATAAATCCCACTCAAGTGCTATAATTGTTTGCTCAGGCAAAGTCATGTGCTGTACAGAATTGGAAGAAGTTAGACACAGAAAAGTGTTTTGAAAATATTTAATTGTAAGTTTTAAACATTTAAAGTATATTAAAGTTATTATGGTTTGTGAACACAAAGAACTTTCAAAACACTACTCTCCTCCACCTCCACAGTTAAAATATAACTAATCCACATACAGGAGAAAAATCTAACCTTTTTAACTAAAGACTATAACCATATAAAGATGCCTAAATTTTAGGCATTTCTCTTTGATACGCTCAAGATTTTTCTAGATTGGAGAAGGACATAATCAATTTACAAATCAATCATTAGATTAGTAATTACTTCAGAAGTGAATCAGTGAAATCATGATTCTCTTGAACAACACTGAACTTGCAGTAGCAATAGAGGTGAGGTAGGGGGTGGTTCTTAGCCTACTGAGAAAGCTTTAACACTAACTCATTTCTGTCATTGAAAATCTTAAGCCCAGGATAACCTCAAACTCAGGAACCAGAAAATACTAATGAGCAGAAAGTCTAATGGTCATTATAGTAGTTTAGGATAGATTTTCCCTGAAATATTAAAGTTACTTTTGGTAATCCAGTTGCCTATTTGATTGAAAAGTTCCTGTTGTCTAGAAACCAATACTGATTGCTGAAACCAATGGCGGATACAACATACCTGGCAATAGGATATTTAGTTGAGTAATTGTGATGGCAAAAGAGCTCGAGAAACCCTCTAGGAATTGCTCATTTTGGGAGACACTGCTACTACCTGCCCTGGACATTGACCCTGTGTGGGTGTGCTCTGTACCTACAGTAACACCTTCACTGCAGCTCTCTGAGAGTAGGAGTGGGTGCTGTTAATAGACAAGGTTCGTAGACATAAAGAGGGACTCCTCTTTGTATTGTCACCCTATCTCTGTCCATGGGTCATGATTTTTGTGTAGGTCAAAATATAGCAGCTGCCATCTCCATGAGAAACTTTCTAAAGGATTGAAGTTATCTGTTGCTTGGCCACCCTGGCTACATTTAGACTTCTCAGGAATGAAAATGTGTCACATTGTGTTTGCATTAGAAAATTACTTCACCTAAAGAAGAGAAGACACAAGACAAAGATGAATTTGTTGCATACGACTTGCTCATGGTCTTTTGATAATATGCAAATGAATATTGCATTTGAAATCTAAATCTTAGAAGTAGCAAATGACTTTGAATCTTGAATGCTGAAAAAAGCTCCCTAGACAAATTTAAACTGGGAGTGGAATGACCTATTTCTAACCATACCTTTAAACTCATTTTAGGATAAAATATATGCATGTGTGTGTGTATAAATTATGGCTTGATTTAAATTATCTGTATGCTTTTCTGACTTTAAAAGTTTGTGTTACTGAAGTAACATTGGCTTATATGTTACATAGACCATCAGGTGTGCATCACTATATCACAATATAAGTGGATAGTGCAGGATATTCATCAGTCTTCAGTTCATCGCTGAAAGTCCAATTCCATCCTTTACCATACAATGGAAACCTTTTACCCAACTAACATACCCCATTCTCTCTTCCCTTCCAGTAACCACTAATTTGATCTTATGGTCTAAAAGTTTATTTTTATAAGGGGGGTGCAATTGTATGGGGAATATAAAAAAATAAATCTTAAAAAATAATAAAAATAAAATAAATACAAGTTTATTTTTACACATTTATTCATACATTTCTTTTGCTTTTTTATATACCACATATTAATGAAATCATAGTGTTTGTCTTTCTCTTATGACTTATTTCACTAAGTATTATATCCTCTAGATCCATCCATGTTGTTGCAAATGGCAGGATTTCATCATTTTAAATATTCCAGTATTTGTATATACCACATCAAATCACCTGTCAATGGGAACTTAGCTTCTTTTCAGCTCTTATCTAAGGTAAAGAATGCTGTGATGAAATATGTGTGTGCATATGTCTCTTCAAGTTAGAGTTTTTATATTATTTGGATAAATACCCAGAAGTAGAATAACTGGAATTGATGGAATTTCTATTTTTAATTTTTTGAGGATACTTCATAGTGCTTTCCATAATGGCTACAGAAATTTACATTGCCATCAACAGTGTACAAGGTCCCCTTCTCTCTACATCGTCTATAACATTTGCTATATTTTATCTTTTGGATAATAACCATTCTCACAGGTGTGAGGTGATAATTTCATTGTTTCGTTTTGCATTTTCCTGATATGAAGAAATGATGAATATCTTTTCACGTGCATGTTGGCCATTTTCATTTCTTCTTTGGAGACATTTCTATTCAGATCCTCTGCCAATTTTTAACATTGTGTTGTTTGTTCCTTTGTTAAGTTTTATAAGTTTTTTAAATATATTTTGGATATTAACCATTTGTTAGATGTATGAGTTTCCAATATTTTCTCCCATTCAGTTGGATGCTTATTCATTTTGATACGTTTCTTTTATTATGCAGAAGCTTTTATAATTTTTTATGTAGTCCAATTTGTTTATTTTGCTTTGCTTCCCTTTTCATTCAAACTGCAAAAGTCACCAAACAGCCAAATGATTCTGAGAAAAAAAAAAGAAAAAAATGGATATATTACACTCCCAACATCAGCCTGTACTACAGAACAATAGTAGTCAAAATAGCTTGGTATTTGGGATAGAAACAAAACACACAGATAAATGGAACAAAATTGAGAGCCCAGAATTAAACCCACACATGTATGATCATCTACATTATGAGAAAGGATCTAGGAACATACAATGGAAGAAGGAAAATATCTTCAATAAATAGTGTTGGGAAAACTAAATAGCCACATGCGAAAGAATGAGACTAGATCACTGTCTCATACCACATACAAAATTTAATTCAAAAGTGATTCAAGATTTGGATGTGGTAGCTGAAATCATAAAATTCACAGAAAAAAAAATCCTAAAATGTTATGCAGCACTTTAATTGATATTCTTATTTTCTTCATTTTACTTTTTGTATCAGTCAACCATAGCAAATATTGTTCTTTAATTCTAACTACTTTAAAACATTTTTTCATTAAAATAAAATATAATTAAAAAATTATTAAACCTGCTTACTAAAGTATTACTCTAATTTGCAAAATTAGAGTATTTCTGAGGAGGCAATACAAATGATTTCTGAGGAGGCAATACAAATGATTCTCAAAAGGATCTCCAAGTTTTCATGGTTATTTCAGGTTGAATGTCACCCGAATATCATTGGATGGCTATATGACATTATTTTCCTGAAAATTTTATCAGATTATGATATCTAAAATATTCAATATAAAAGTAACTGAATAGCTTCAGAGACACAGTCCTAAACCTGGATAAAATGGTGGTAATTTTGTAATTTAGTATGTTTACAGTGACTGTAGTAGTTTTTTACTACCTATATATTTTCCTTCACCAAAAATAAAACAAAACAAATATCAAAAATTTGAAAGCTTGGTAATTTTCTATCATCACATGTCCAAATACTATTAATATTGTAAGGTATAGTTCAAAAGATTTTGTCTCTTTTCTCAAAGGGAATTATCTTTTCTTCTTTGAAATGTTACTGTATTTTGCTATTACCCATGTCATTTATCAATGTCTGGCTTATTCATTCCATGCCTTATCTCACTTCCTAAAACTTAACTTCTTTGAGAGTAAGAAATATTTCTCAGAGCATGTGCTCCAGTGTCTTACACATAATAATTTTCAATAAGTGTTTTTTTTTTAATTAATGAAAAGCTAATTACTGGGATTGTGTCAATAAAGCATAAGATAACAATGTTATATTTTTCTGGTAAATACGTCTTTAAGTATTCAAATGTAGTAAATGTGGCATTAATTTATTTCAGGAGATGTTGTGCATACTATTTGATGTTTGGATTGTCAGATGCTCATGGCTTATTAACCCTGTGCTTATGAAATTTGAAAAAGTCACTAATATATTTGCATATTTCTAAAATCCATTATTTCTTATGTTTCTCCTATTGAATAATTCATAAATAAAGTTTTAAAGTAAAACACCAAGAGA